TCGTGTCGCTTACGTCTGTCCCTACCTGTGCCACTATCAGTGTTCTCTAGACTGAAAAAAGAAGAAATTATAACAGCAATCAACATACCCAGAATCGAACTGGAGACTACGCGAAATTACCAGTACCCAGCGTCTGCTGACATCACGATTTGCCATTGAGGGGGGCTACTACTAGCGCAATTGCAATAACTCATCGAATGTCTTGATTGAATTCGAACCTCATATTCGACAAATGGGTGATTGAGAGGACGCCCACTTGGAATTGCATACTTACAATGATGATGGAATTATCGCCGCAAGATTGCCTGTTACTGTGAATTAGATGGTATACACTAGGTCACGCTGGTGTCTTTAAAGTTGAATATGCCCACCCCGCCACCCTAGCCAGGACGACCAGCCTCTAAGTAAAAAAAGATAACCACAACCACATAATGTGCCCTCAGATTGATCGACGATAAATTCTATGCTGAGCGGGCGTGATAACTGACGATATCATTTGCCCTTGGAATGGTATTGATGATTTGGCGGGCGCGTGAATGAAAACGCGAAGACGGCGCTGAGGCCGAGTGAATGGTTCGCAGCTGTGGTCTCCCAATCCAGTGATCCCGAGATGCGCCCTCGATGATCAAACGCTCGAGGTTGACGCGCGAGATCCCAGTATTGCGCTCAACAGAAAGCGTAAATTAGGAGTAGATCCCAGATAGCGTGGTGAATGTGCGGGGAACGGCAGTCGAAGGATGGGACATAGTGAAAGATACACGTTGTTTCTTGGCTTTGAGCCGTTTGATGGCGCGTTCCGTGTTTCCATAGGTCGATGAAAGTCGAGTCGTTGATCTCCAAGCTGAGTAAGGCTGGGAGATGGAGCGGTCTTCATCCTAGCTCGAGCGCAGGCTCACTGGCGAACTTCGAGCACTGAAAGCCGTTTATGCGCCAAGAGCACTTCAGAAACTACTTGAGAGCGCACAGAAGTAGTATGGAATAGAGAAGTGATCCCATTTTTTCGTCGGGGAAGATGAGATAACAGTCCGAGTCGGATTTATGAGCACAAGCTCTGCGAATATTGGAACCAGTAATGAAGGCAAGGAAAAGTCGCAGGATGCTTCGCATTACTTGAAGTTACATATCGCTCTCGGTGATGCAAGGAGAGGTCTAGTCGGAAAAAAAAAATTGTGCGTCATCAATAGCATATGTAAACAAGGACTTCTCCGTTATCGCCGATCACCAGAAGAACTTCAGTGAACACCACGCACGCACGCGCTTTGTGAAATCCTCAAGCTCCTCGCCGCAATGCCTGCTCACTGTGAGCTCTTCAGAATCAAATGGACATCTCTGGACGGGTCTCCTCATATCCCAGCAGCCCTGAGCAGGTTCGTTTTAGCTCAGCCCAGGTTCGGCTCCGTGTTTCGGTACACAAATTTTATATACCAGCGTTCAAACTTCTTCAACTCTCAGGCCTTTTCCCCCCCTCTGACCTAACCGCTGGCACGACATGCCGAGCATCATCCTCGACCAATCCCAGGCCCAGCTCGTCGCTGACGGCGGCAATTGGACGACGCTCTCCATGGAGCGCTACTACGGTGGCTCAGCGATTTCCTCCTCCTTTGCCTGTACAGATTTCGGCGACACAGGCCAATACGGACGTCTGTCCATCACGTTCCAAGGTGCGTCCGCCCATCCTCTGGGAAAACCTACAATTTAACGCCGTCTTAGGCACGCAGATCTCGCTGTTCGGGTCGTCACCCCCCGCACGCGCCTCGCAGAACATTTCGGTATCTATCGACGGCCGCGCGCCATACACTACGACCTACGGGGACCGGTTCCCTCCCAGCGTGCTGCAGTGGTACCAGTCCCCATTCCTACCGGACGGCACGCATACGCTTGTCATATCCCACATTGCGGGCGCGTCGCTGGACTACATGGTGACCACCCCGGGCCCCAGCACGCCTCTGGATGGACAGCAGCGCATCGTCGACGACGGTGACGCGTCGATCACGTACATTGGGCCATGGTTACGTCAGGCGGGACAGTACGAGACGGGGGAGCAGCCGTACGTCACGCTGCCTTATGGCGGCGCGGTACACCAGGCGCAAGGCGAGGGTGCCATTGCGCTCTTCCAATTCACAGGTATGTGGCGCACGTATCGTCTATCCTAGGCAATACTGATTTTCAGTTGAATAGGGACGTCGGTTACCCTGTACGGCTTGATGGACTATTCCCACCTTGGCCTAATGCAAGTTGTATACACCCTCGATGGTGTCGCATACCCGCAGACGTACAACGTCTCTTTGCAGTCACCGCAGTACCGCGCCGCCGTCATCCAACGCGGCAACACGGTTCTCTTCACATCGCCGGGTAACCTTACGGCGGGGCGCCACACCCTCCAGGTCGAGGTGCTCAGTCTCGCAGTGCAGATGTCGCTCATGCTGGACTACATCGTGTACACGCCGTCCATCGACGAGCTTGACGCCGTTCCGACCGCCACCACCACCACGTCGACAACCCTGCAGGCGAAGCAGACAGGTAGTAACAGCGGGTCGGTTTCCAGATCTGGGGGTGACGTGCCAACTGGAGTCGTCGCCGGTGCTACAGTGGCCGTCCTGGTCCTCGGAGTCCTGATGTTCGTGTGTGTCCGGTGGTGGAGGCGTAGACAGCTGTCCGACGGCTCGTCTGTGTCTTCATGGGAGTCGGTGAAAAAACGAGGTGCGTCGAATACCCGATTTACATCCTCATTTTAGACACCGACGCTGATCGCCTACGAACAGCGGACCTTCCCCGCGCCGCGCCGTCTATGGCAGAAGTACGTGCACACGTATAGATTGCTCAATGTCGAGGTGGATCAGGGAGCATACAAGCAACCAAGCGAGAGAGAGCAGGATTATCTCTTGAATTTATTGCTGTGTGAGGATATGTATGGTGCCACATGTGTTCACGTCAGCTCATGTAATGTCGTTTACCGTGAGTTGAATGTGGGTTGAAACATCTAGACACTAGCAGATGTGATGCTGCCAGCACATGGTATCTGTATTTCATGTTCAGAGCATGTATTCAATGCATGTTAGCATAAAGATCAAGCATTTGCTTAATAACAGATTGGCACCACTATCCAAATGGCTTGAATGCCTTGCAGGCTGAAAAATCATGTTCCTTCTTTGCCACGAATAGGGCACATCCGGAATCAAACCAGAGACTACCCTACACAGATTTCCTGCATCACAAGTGGGTGTGATAACCAGATATCCTATGTGCCCAGCTGTTACTGACTGCAAGTGAACTTTCATACCAATAAATTTAATTAAGGGCATACAATACTTGGATTGAATTTTGAGTGGTTCTCCTCATATAATAAGCCATCTAAATTGGGAGCCACCTTCAGAGCAAATGCATGAGACTTCAGCATAAAATTTAAATAGAGAAGAGGGCCACACACAAAACACAGCCTTCCATTGATACCATATATCCAACTAAAAATTTTCTTACCAGGTAGCCTGTTACTAGGCTGTGACTAAAATATTACTAAGTTTCTAAACCATGTTAGCTATATATAAAACAAGTGAGAGCAGCTTCGTGCATCTTCACATCATAAATATTTGATTTGAGGGTTTTGTATACAACAATAGGTTTGTAGCGTCGGCAGGTAACATGCATATGATATGGAAAGCATCAGCATGATCATCACCACTGTGAGAAGGATCCAACTTTCCTGGTACTATGTAGGCGCCATACTGTGCCATAGTTGAAGTCACAAAAGAGTTGCATGGGCTCAAGAGTGCACGTGTCAAAGCTCAAGGTAATCAACAAGGAAGAGAAATTGGTTGGCACTGTCAGTATTGGTTTGTAGAAGAACTAATGGAAAAATTCTTTTTTTATCACAATTGCCTTGGGTGTATCTCAATTTTTTTTGCTGAGTTGTCGCTGGTTCCCCCACCCCCAATTTTTTCAGATATGAGGATCAGTTGTATCAGCAGTTTTTGTTAGGGTTGCAAAAGTGTATCTTCATAGAGCCAGATTTTGAAAATTTACAGTAAGGAGCATATCTAAATATATGAACTTTGAACAAAGATGTTGAGCACATCAGGCTGTGCTATGATTATCACTGACATCAATGAGACATCTGTGGAGTGTGCAAACGGTTTGCCTTACTTATATGACATGACAATAGATACATATACATAAAAAAATTGGTATATCTACATTGTGAAGTGCTTGGATTCCATAGTACGAAGCTGACAAAGCGTAAGTAAGGGAGTGAGAAAAGGGCAAGCATTTAATGACAACTCTCTTGCCTGTGAGACATTTGTGGAGCAACCATGTGGTAATTCAGTTGTTCTCTCACTTGCATGGCACGACAGCATGCTTGCATCTGCACAAATGAAGTGGTGAGGTACATTAGTTGAAGTAGTTAGATTATGTATTATGAAGCCGATGAAGCGTAAGAGAAGGAGCAGCAAAAGAGCAAGGATTTACACAACATGTACAGCCACATTTTGTAGTAGATGTGTATAGTATGATAGGAATTAGAATCACCAATTATATATTTGGACCTGCCTGGAATTGAACCAGGGACAATCATAAATTTCATGCAAAGCAGATGCAGCTGACTACACCATGGGCCCATCACAAGATTAAGCATGTACCCCAATATTACTACCAACCTGGTGTAATAGCATGAATACAATTTTATTTTCCAAGTGGGCATGATAAGTAGCCCAGTAACCAGCTGCTGAAAATATAGTAAAGGTGACAGTGTACTATGTCATTCAGTATCACAGAGAGGCTGGGTTTCTCATCCTGATTCTCCCTAGTGAATGCAGGTCCAGAAGAATGAGAAACAGTACAAGAAGTTCAGCACCTAGGCTAATGTACTTATGATAATGATGCAATCATCTATACACATGTGGTAGCACACACCAACAGTGAAAAGTCATAAGTCACCAGTGATACTTTGCACCTCACTGGAATTCTGCGGGCTGGAATAAAAAGAACATATGCAGTGAATGGCTTGGACACACCCAGAATTGAACTGGAGACTGTCTGCATAGTAGGTGTGGGCCATCTTATGATGCTAAGCAGGCATGATAACCAACTACACCATGTGCCCTTGTGAGGAGCTGAAAACTGCACAAGATAGGCATCATCACTTGCTGAGAGCTCCAAATAACCCTGCAGGAACCCAGGCTGCGTGATATCGACTTGGCGTTTCTCCGCATCTGCAACAGCCAAGAGATGCCTGATATCATGCTTGTCTTTGCCCACCTTCTTGCGTCGTGTGATGACGTCCCTCTGTAGCAGTAGAATCCTCATGGAACTCCCATGCCTGGAGGTCCATGAGGAGGCATGTAAGGGAGGCCGTCGGTCCTTGACCTACTCGCCACTGGGATTGCAGGGATTTTCAACGAGGTCCGGGGAAAGAGCAGGTTGATCCTTGATGCGCCTCTTTGGTTCACCTGGCATGCACCGTGCCGTACCACAGGATTTTGTGCTTCGCAAGAGGATTGTGCACTGGGACGAGGTAGAAGTTGCAATCCAGATTCAGATTCCAGGGAGACAAGAGTGCCTCCCGGCGGGTCTGCTGCCATTCGCCTGTGAGGAGGGGGGCTCAAAGTTGCGGCAGATGGGCGCAGAGCCTGCAGACGCAGATGCTCGCAGATGGGCAGATGTGACATTAGTCATCATCATGCTTGCTATCTTATCTAATTTTTTGTATCATTGACTACACACGAAATGCCACAAAAAAGTGTCCATGACAGTGTTCTTCAAGCCTATCTGCTCCATCTTTCTTTGCGAGACATGGCTTCACCACCCCACGAGCTCCCTGTTGATGAGCTTCTCATCCATCTCCAGGCAGACATTGATTAAAGATACTTGCTACTTGAATCTGCGGACATCTGTTCCTAAAGCTGGGAACCTTCATCTGGCATGGGAATATGCAAAAAACCCTGCGCATCATGATATGTTCATCCAGATGCTTTGCGTCTCCCCCGTTGTGTTCATGGTCATTCTCAAGCTCATTAAAGATCATCCCATCTTTATGAACAACTCCAATGTTCCACAAACACCTGTCAACTACCAGCTTGCTGTCACTCTTTATTGTATGGGCCGATTTGGGAACACTGCCTGTTTAGCAGATATTGCACGAGAGGCCGGCATCTCGGAGGGATCTGTTGAAATTTTCACCAACTGTTGCTTCACAGCAATTGAATCTCTACATGACATGTTCATTCAGCCCCTGACACCAGAGGAGAAGGAGAAGGAGAAAAGATGGATGGATGAGCATGTGGGATTCAAGGGTCTTTGGAGGGAGGGCTGTATCATGTACAATGGGACTATTGTTGTTCTATACTCACAACCAGGGCTTGATGGTGATGCATATTACACACAGAAGGGGAACTAAGGGCTGAATCTGCAAGTATGTTGTCATTTTCGTTTCGTTTCAATTATATTAACTAGCTTCTAATAGATCGGAAATGTCCCCTCTAATCTACAGATCCTCGATTACTCCCATGGCCTTACTGGCTCTGCACATGATGCCACAGCATTTGAGCATACTGCAGCTGGGAAACACCCTGAATGGCTGTTTCAGGGTAGAGAATTTGCTTGGGTAGACTCTGCATACAGCCTCACAAGCCAGACCATTCCTGTTCACAAGCGTCCAGCAGCCTTTCATCGCGAAAATGCCATTTTTGACTGTCTTGTATCTCATCTACGTGTTTGCTCAGAGCACTGCATGGGGGCCTTGAAAGGCCGATTTCAATGCCTTTGTGGTCTTCATGTCAGCATCAACTCACGAGAGGAACATATCGAGGCTGGACAATGGATTACGGTGTCTATCATTTTACACAATCTTATTATTGACGTGGAAGGGAAGGTCTCTGGTGCTCATTTCATGGGAGATCATACACAGGCAGAGGAGGATGAGGATGTCGAGCCCCACCTGGAGGAGGAAAATGATGTTGCCCCAGAGGAGGCTGGTGAGCAGAAGCAACTCCAACTAACTGCTGAGCTTCTGGCCTTCCGTCAAGCAGCAGGAATTCCATTTTAATCAGTATATAAGGCTATATAATTGTTATTTAAAGATTGCTAAGGTTTTCACTAAAAGGATTAGAATGTAGGGACTTCCTCAATATCTGATGAGTATTCAACTTTAAAGTGAGATTGAGATGCACTGGCAGCCCGCTCTGAAGCTTTGCAATACTCAGAAACTTCAAGTAACCCAGCCTCATACTCATGAAGACGCAATTCTCTCTCCTGAATATCCAATTTTTGGTGCTTCTGCTCGCTCTCATCATGCATCCGAGCCTTGCTTGTTAGGGCGACGCTTCGTCACAAGGACATACTAGGACACCACTACAAATAGAAAAGAACTCAGATAGACTGAGGGGAGAAGGTTGAC